ACCAAATCTTAAGAAAGTTAAAAAGAATTTGCTAAACATGATTGGATATAACATCAACGATGAATCCACACATTCAATCCAGCTCCATACTCCCGAAACATATACGATGATGATGTGGTAGAATCAATGGAAGATGACGAATATAAGAGAGCAAACGAACGTCTACAAAACAAAGTAATCATCAAATATAACCATGTACAAACCAAAACATATACCCTGTAAAATTAAATAAAGTAACTAACCTCCACGTCCGAATAAAAGAATCCCAAACATAACGATGAGAACTACTACATCCAAGACGACTCATAGAAAGCACTGGACCATAGGATCTCACGGCAAGACTACTGGTGTAAAGCATCGGACCATCCGAAGAAGCCACCATTCGCAGAGAAGAGATTGAGGAAGAAGTCAATCTTGCTTACTCAAACCTGTGCATTCCATAGACACCATATTAACAATATTATGGTGGATCTTTTCGAACCTTTTCAACGGCCATTTCTAAGAGGAATTTAAAATTCTTTCACCTTCGAAGAGAAGAAGATTGCTTTCTCTCTTATATATAAGGGCACCATCATCTCTCTATTGTGCTATCGCACATGTCACACAATCATTTATAAAAAAAATATAGGGTACAAAAACAGAGGCAAATATTTTTGTTTTCCTTATTCTTTTGAAAATGGAACTACAATCTTCTTCTCTACCTCGTCATATGATGCTTGTATCTTTCCCAGGTCAAGGCCACGTGAACCCACTTCTTCGTCTCGGCAAGCTCAATTAGCTTCAAAGGGTTTACTCATCACTTTCGTCACCACTGAACAATGGGGTAAAAAGATGCGAAACGCCAACAAAATCCAAGACCGAGCCCTCAAACCGACCGGTAAAGGTTATATCCGGTTCGAATTCTTCGATAACGGTCTCTCGGAAGACGACGAAGCCATCAGAAAGACTTCAACGTCCTCCGACCACACCTCGAGCTTGTCGGCAGAACTTAAAAAGAGGTAATGTATATTTACTCAATTTTTCAATATTTTACTTTGAGTGGCTTTAACTGTTATGGCTTTTCTATTGCAGAGGGATGGCCGTTGAAGACCCAGAGGCACCACACAGTTTACGTCTGAGGATAAAAATAGAATAACACAAATAAGTATTATAATTACCATGTAAAATATAAGTAAAAAATAGACGATGGATGACCTGAAAACCAGAAAATATAAAGGCAGATAACAC